AGTTAATGTTGTAAATATGAATGTAGATTATTTACATTGATGGTTGTACTATTTATAAGGTAATTACAACATTTGTGGCTCTCACCTATAGGGACCAAGGTGGGTCTAATGATCCATTTACCTCATAATTCAGTTCTTTGATCCAGAATATGCCAAAGTTAAAAAATAATACATCATTAGATTATGACAAATCGGTTTATGGCCAAGTAAAACTAGGACGGCTGTAGCCAAGTAGAAACATACTAGCTTGTGGTCAAGTAAAAATAGGTTTACTTACGGTTGACTAGAAACACGTCGGCTTGTGGTTAGATAGAAACAGGTTGGTTTATAGCGGGTAGAAACAAGCTAGCTTGTGCCAGGTAGAAATAGACTAGCTTATGGTCGAATAGAAACACGTCAGTTTATGACGGGATGAAAACAGGTCGAGAAGAACAAGTCGACTTGTGGTTGAATAGCAACAGAACAACTTCTGATGAGGTAGCATAGTCTAGTTTGTGACTGGATAGCATAGTCTGACTTGTGATTGGATCAAACACGTCGATTAGTGATCAAGTAAAATAAATCAACGTATGACTAGATAGGTTATCTATAATAATTGTCTGTGTTCAAGCACTAAATGTTCAAACACTGAGATTGAGAGCATTACACACTTATGGTTGTTAGTTTATTAATTATAATTATTTTCTATGCTTTCTTGTGCTACCATGTGTCATTTTTTTCATTTTTTGTTTCTTAAAAAAAGTTCCCTTCATAAAACTGATTGGTCCCACGTCCAATTGTTTCAATAAATACCTGTTTCAGCGTCATTCTACCTACGTTTCATTACTGTAGATTTCATAAGAGCATGAACAGACTCCTTTTATTTAAAAAAAACATATTTTTTTTCTTTATATGATATTCCTAAGTCCTTTGACAAATTTATAATCAATAGCATCCTTTCCTTTCCATTATCTTAAACAAAGGCCTTTGCTTCCTGCACCCCACCATTACTAAATGCGCCTCCATACTAATGAAGAAAGAAAATCGTAATTATTTATGTTGTTGCGGGAGAAAAATAGAAACAAGAGTTGTCAATTTTAATGTTTTGAAGTTTGGTAAGAGGTTGTTATTGAAAGGAGGTGAATGGATATGGGAAATTTGTGGCAGATGTGATGATTGGGTTGCATTTGTTGGTTTCGATGTGGTCGAATTAAGTACTAACATCATTAAGAATTATTATTTAATAAAGGAAATAAAAGTATAAATTTCGACACTTTAATATTTACATTTATAAAAAAAAGTATTATTATTTAATATATAATTTTCTTAAAGAATGACAAACCTTTATATAAATTCTTTTACAAATTTTTTAATAAAAATTGCAAATCATTTGAGCATTTCTTTTATATAGAAACCCTCCAATAGTACAATTATCTAACTCTTCTATGTATTCGAAAGATTCTCAAATAAACTATTTATTTTAATAGTATTTTTTTACTGTTTATTTTTTTCATATTACTTAATTACTGAAAACTAACAAATTAAAAAAAAAAGTAACTCTGCCTAAGTTCTTTTACCTACCTTTTCCTAAATGTTTAATTTCATTAAGTTACTTGTTTCCTGAGAGCTTTTGTCTAAGTAGTGTTTGGCCAACTTCTACTTCTAAGGAGAAAAAAAGCCAAAAGTAAATAAAGTCAAGTCACAACACTTGTTGTAGTTTGTGAGGACTAAAGAGATTGGTATGAGAAGATAATTGCATAAAAAGCGTTTAATTTTCTTGACATAGGATAAGAGATTGTGAATTGACTTTTTAGCATTAAAACCCTTTTTTCGAGAGTAGTGGAAGTCCCTTCGATACTTTTCTTCCCCTTTTCTTAAACCAGTCTCATATAGACAAGTATAAGGCATGTTAAAGTTTAAAGGTAATAGAGAAAACTTATATAAAATATTGTGAGTCTATAAGGTGGGGAAGTTTCATTCTAATAATATAATATATTTAATAAATCATAGGTTAAATATGTTTTTATCCCTTAACTTTAAGTGAAAATTGGAATTAGTCCCTCTTTAAAAATTTGTCCTAATTTAGTTCCTAAACTTTTAGAAATGTTTAAATTTAGTCTTTTTAATTAAATTTTGTTAGATTTATTTGATGTTTCAATACGTTTCATGATAGTGATTATTGGTCTAAATTTTCAAAGAGTAACTAATTCCAAATTTAACCCTAAAATATATTATTTGATTACGGGTATAAAAAAGAAAGAAGGGAAAGATTGGATGAAAAAAAGAAAACCTTAGAAGAGTTTTTCTTCTTTATAGGTACATGTTCATTGTTAATGAGTTTATTTATTTTCTGATAGTAGAAGAATTCAAACTCAATAACTCTCACTTAATTTTCCATATTATATCTCCCTTGATTTTACGAAAACTGTTGAGAATAATTAAGTATATAAAGATTAACTCATTTCTTACACATTTAAGATTTTTTTTTTCTGAGTAACATACTTACCTTTTTTATTTTCTTAGATAACATATTGTTCTCTATATTTACCCGCATAGCGCCGTTTTTATTTTAGATTATAATTTAGTTGTTGGGAAATTGGATTCTAACCTTCCATTTGGTTATTGGGTTGAAATACTAGTCAGAATTTGGTTATCGAATTATTTTCAATTATATCAATTCTATTAAATGTAATTGCTTTTATTCAATAAATATATTTTCTATTAGCTTATACATTTTCAATTTCATTATTATAAATTTTCCAACTAAAAAATATATTAGAAAAAAACAATAAATCTGTTAAAATGAAAAAAAAAAACCTATAAAACTTCTTTACAAGTATAAGTAATTCTTTTACTTTTTTTTCTCCATATCTATTAACAACTAACATTTTGAATACTTAAATAATCAATTCCAAAATATACATTTATCTTATAAATATACATTCATCAATTCCAAAATATACATTCATCTTATTATTAACTTTCAATAATTAAATTTTAATAACTACAAAAACATTACAAGAATTATATTTTACAAAATCCAATCACAAATATAAAATTTAGATCATCTTATATACATATAACTCTTTTTTATCTTCCAAAATTTTACAAAACACTACAAATATTACTACATTATTTTTTTTCCCATCTTAAAATATTATGTTACTTTATTTAAAGTATATTATTTTTAATTAAAACAAAAAAAAAATCCAAAAAGCCAAATTCTGACTAATATTTCGATCAAAACACAAAGTCAAAATTCGCTACCCTTAAAACTAAATTCTCACCTAAGAGAAGAACAATGTGGTACCTAGGAAATAAAAAAGGCAAGTGTGCTACCACAGGAAAAAAAATGGCACATCCAACTCAACTCACACTGTTCTATATATTCCAAGCCATAAATTCTAACGGCCAAAAAACTGTAAATTGCTCAAGACATTTCAATGTACCAGGTGAGCTTCTTGTCTTTTCTTTATTTTGTCGTATTCTTTTTTTTTTTTTGGTTTGTGTATTCTGCTTTGGTTAGAATTGCCAAAACGAGTAACGTGGTCTGACCCGACCCGGGTTAGTGGGTTAATTGAAACAGTAATAATTGGACCAATTGATATAAAAGAAAATGAAACAAAAGAAATATATTGTTATATATATTATAAGCTATCAAACATAAAATTTTGTCAATTTAGTTTAATGAGACATACACAATCGTTTGACCAATAAACTACATATAGCCGTTAACAAAAATATATAGGACAAGATAAAACTGTCATGCTTGTAGATATAGGTCTAAACACAAGATAAAACAAATGATATATTCCTTAATTATTCAATGTATAATATTATTCATCTATTAAATCGGAGTCCTCAATGGATAAATTCACAGATCTTAGGGTTTTATTTGTAGAGGGAAACTTTTGGAAAGACAGTCACGCGAAAGGCTCTATTGCTAAGTAAAGGTTGTGTATTTTGAATAATTAATTTAATTAATTTGATTTCAATAAAAAAAATAGGATTTGAAGAATTAATTTAATTAAAAAAAATAGGTGGGTTGTTGAGCCATTCCAACCCACCACGGGTTTAACTCGTGTGAGCCGGGTTCTTAGTGAGCCGGGTCAAAATTGGCACGCTAAAAAAATTTACATTTTTTTTCCAACCCAACCCGGTTCAAATCTATGGTGAGTCGGATTGGCTCACGGATTTCAATCAATTTTGACGGCACTAACTTTGGTACGCAGAGAGATTATTGCAAAGGTTTTTCTCTTTTTGTATTAAGTTTAAAATGAAAAAGGTATGGTCTGCACAAAAATTATGAAAAATAAATGCAAAGTTTTCTTACACATTAGAGAGGGCGACAGAAGTTCATTAAGCACGTCAAAACTACTCATACGACGTTACAACGTGAAATACACCAAACATTAGTGTTTTTCTTGAAAGATGTTTATGTTTTTTTTCTCATACAAAATTGAGTATGAAATAAAAATCTCAGGTATGTAAGCCTTCAAAACACTGATTGAGANTGTTAGATATTATTAGTTATAATATTATGTATATTTGGACTTAGCCCTTATTTCTTGTATTATTCTTTATTGTAAATATATTACCTTATGTTTATTTTTTACACAAGTTTCTATACTTAGTTTTTTATTATTTCACATGATATCTAAAGCCAGGGTTTTCTAGCAATGATTGATGATATACTTGCTTCCGCTAATGATTCTTCTACTTAGGCATCTCAATGTGGTGAGCGCCCTTGCAAATCGGGCAAAGAACGTCGCGAGTGTGAATATTTTCTTATGCATTTTTAATTACATAATTAGGAGATTTAATTACATTTCATAATTAAGAGGATAATTAGGATAATTAATAGGATAATAGTATATTTTATATTTATTGTACAAGATCATTGATCCTCAACTGTAGGAATAGATTATATCCATCACAAATTAGGATTTTCTGTTATTATGTATATGTAATCTATTTAAGAGCAATTGCACCTCCAAGAATAATATCAGAAACAGTTTTTATGAGAATTTAATTTTTTTTATAAGCATTTGAATTTTAAAGAATCCCATCTCAATTGTTCATCAAAGTATCCATTGTTCTTGCAGGTTGGCATACAACATAAACCAGATTACTTGAATGCGAGAACTACTAATCGTGTTCTTGTTGATGTACAGAAGGACAAGGTTTGTATGACATTTTAAAGATACGATATTCCACAAGAATTGTTGGGAGTCTGTTGGAAACTTGTTACACTTAATTTACGTTGTCATGTTTCTTGGCTATTTCCAAACTTTGGGCTTGTGTGTGTGTGTGTGTGTATATATATATATATATATGTGCGTGTGTGTGTGTTTGAGACAATCATTGGCTATTTATGCTGTTCCATGCAGAATTTTTCTCATGTTTCTCTTCCATTTAATATTTCTTTTGTAGGTGACAATGTGTCCATTACCAAAACTTCCACAGCATAGAGAGCTTTTCTCTCAGCTGAGTTCAATTCATGCTAGACTTTCAAATCAACGATCAATTGCTAAAAAGCATCCTGTACATAGGTGCAACGAAGTCCAGGTTTTCTTAGTTCCCATACTAAAAGATCTCTTTCACACACGCTATTTTTGGAAAAATAAATATTACTATTTTCTTTATGTATAAATAATTCATGCTTCACAAACCAGCAATTTTTCAGGTTCTAGCTTCTGAAACCATTAGAAGCAACTGCTAATCTTGAATTGTTTACAGGCCGAAGCTGCAACTCAGTTTTTGAATATATTGTGGCACTATTTGGAGTCTCTTTGTTTAAATCTGAAATCCCACACGATAACTAATGTACAATCTAATAAAGATAGGGTACGATAACTAAGTTAATGTGATATTTATTTCTGGAAATTCTTAAAGTACTAAGAATGAGTCATCTGCCCTACCTCACCCTGCATTAATTTTTCAGGTTTCTTTACTTCTTAAAGATAGCTTCATTGATTCCTTTCCTGCTAGGGATCAACCTTTCATTAAGGTAACAAAATTTGATCGTTTTATGCATTACATTTGGCTTAAGCTAAAAAGTTGGAATTAAAATCACTGAGGGTAGGGTGGAACATTAAATATTACTTCATGAATAGGCATAGTGAGGTTTTGTTTTATTTATTTTCTGAAGCAGCATAGGTCCTAGTGTAAAAAATATTTAAAATAGTATGGTAAAATTAATTTAGTTTCTCTCGAGTTAAAATCAACTTGTGTTAACTATAATAAAAGTTCTCTGATTTAACATGTTGAATGACAGAAGAGCATAATTCAATTTTAGTTGATGAAAGAATCTCAATTCATTTTTTGTTTATCTCTTGCAGACGTTTATGGAAAAAAAAATTAACTATAAAAGGCCAATCTCTTTACTAATTACTGTTTCAAAGCTGATTTTGAATCCTTGGCTATGCAGCTTTTTGTAGATACACAGCTCTTCACTGTTTTATCAGACTCTCGTTTGACAAGCTTTGAGAGTGGAGAGTCATAGTCCCGTGCCACATTGGTTTTAGATCAAATTGTGCTATATAGATCTGTTAGACATGTTTGTTGTCACTGTTGAAGATATAGCTCTTGATTTCATGGGAGGAACACCTCCAGTTCAGACCAGATGAAACTTTGCTAATCCGAGAATGACACAGAAAGTTGATATGTGGTCAAAAAAATTTGTATAATGTTCATAGTAAATGTCATGTACTAAATCATTGTGCTAACCCAGGGGAAAGAATCACTGTCCCTGTTTTTTGTTGAGGGGTGTGTTCTTGGGTTCACCAGTTCATGTTTTGTAATTCAGTAATTGTGACCACTCTCCTTGTAGCATACGTGTCATAATCTTTTTATTGAGCAAACCACAGTTTTGCTTCCTAAAACTGTAATGTATTGTCGTATTAAAATCATGAAAATTCTAAGTTGATGAAAGTTTTTATTATTTGGTCCAAACCTTTGAACATAACTAGCTGGTATCATTTTGGTATTTAAACATACTTATCATTGAAGTTACATTCATTTGAATTTTGAACTGATAATGATGTAATACATATTCAAAGACCTATTTAATAGTTTTTTTAGTTTTGTACTTAAGGAGCTAAATATATCCTGTGAGAATTAACTTCACGAACTTCCTCAGTCTTTATTGCGTCAACTATTTTTTACCTCTAATACTCGTTCTTTCATAGTTAGATGATAATGTGCTTCCAAAATTTACTTTGACATTTAAGTAAGTTGAGTGTGTAAAATATTAGTTAATGTTGTAAATATGAATGTAGATTATTTACATTGATGGTTGTACTATTTATAAGGTAATTACAACATTTGTGGCTCTCACCTATAGGGACCAAGGTGGGTCTAATGATCCATTTACCTCATAATTCAGTTCTTTGATCCAGAATATGCCAAAGTTAAAAAATAATACATCATTAGATTATGACAAATCGGTTTATGGCCAAGTAAAACTAGGACGGCTGTAGCCAAGTAGAAACATACTAGCTTGTGGTCAAGTAAAAATAGGTTTACTTACGGTTGACTAGAAACACGTCGGCTTGTGGTTAGATAGAAACAGGTTGGTTTATAGCGGGTAGAAACAAGCTAGCTTGTGCCAGGTAGAAATAGACTAGCTTATGGTCGAATAGAAACACGTCAGTTTATGACGGGATGAAAACAGGTCGAGAAGAACAAGTCGACTTGTGGTTGAATAGCAACAGAACAACTTCTGATGAGGTAGCATAGTCTAGTTTGTGACTGGATAGCATAGTCTGACTTGTGATTGGATCAAACACGTCGATTAGTGATCAAGTAAAATAAATCAACGTATGACTAGATAGGTTATCTATAATAATTGTCTGTGTTCAAGCACTAAATGTTCAAACACTGAGATTGAGAGCATTACACACTTATGGTTGTTAGTTTATTAATTATAATTATTTTCTATGCTTTCTTGTGCTACCATGTGTCATTTTTTTCATTTTTTGTTTCTTAAAAAAAGTTCCCTTCATAAAACTGATTGGTCCCACGTCCAATTGTTTCAATAAATACCTGTTTCAGCGTCATTCTACCTACGTTTCATTACTGTAGATTTCATAAGAGCATGAACAGACTCCTTTTATTTAAAAAAAACATATTTTTTTTCTTTATATGATATTCCTAAGTCCTTTGACAAATTTATAATCAATAGCATCCTTTCCTTTCCATTATCTTAAACAAAGGCCTTTGCTTCCTGCACCCCACCATTACTAAATGCGCCTCCATACTAATGAAGAAAGAAAATCGTAATTATTTATGTTGTTGCGGGAGAAAAATAGAAACAAGAGTTGTCAATTTTAATGTTTTGAAGTTTGGTAAGAGGTTGTTATTGAAAGGAGGTGAATGGATATGGGAAATTTGTGGCAGATGTGATGATTGGGTTGCATTTGTTGGTTTCGATGTGGTCGAATTAAGTACTAACATCATTAAGAATTATTATTTAATAAAGGAAATAAAAGTATAAATTTCGACACTTTAATATTTACATTTATAAAAAAAAGTATTATTATTTAATATATAATTTTCTTAAAGAATGACAAACCTTTATATAAATTCTTTTACAAATTTTTTAATAAAAATTGCAAATCATTTGAGCATTTCTTTTATATAGAAACCCTCCAATAGTACAATTATCTAACTCTTCTATGTATTCGAAAGATTCTCAAATAAACTATTTATTTTAATAGTATTTTTTTACTGTTTATTTTTTTCATATTACTTAATTACTGAAAACTAACAAATTAAAAAAAAAAGTAACTCTGCCTAAGTTCTTTTACCTACCTTTTCCTAAATGTTTAATTTCATTAAGTTACTTGTTTCCTGAGAGCTTTTGTCTAAGTAGTGTTTGGCCAACTTCTACTTCTAAGGAGAAAAAAAGCCAAAAGTAAATAAAGTCAAGTCACAACACTTGTTGTAGTTTGTGAGGACTAAAGAGATTGGTATGAGAAGATAATTGCATAAAAAGCGTTTAATTTTCTTGACATAGGATAAGAGATTGTGAATTGACTTTTTAGCATTAAAACCCTTTTTTCGAGAGTAGTGGAAGTCCCTTCGATACTTTTCTTCCCCTTTTCTTAAACCAGTCTCATATAGACAAGTATAAGGCATGTTAAAGTTTAAAGGTAATAGAGAAAACTTATATAAAATATTGTGAGTCTATAAGGTGGGGAAGTTTCATTCTAATAATATAATATATTTAATAAATCATAGGTTAAATATGTTTTTATCCCTTAACTTTAAGTGAAAATTGGAATTAGTCCCTCTTTAAAAATTTGTCCTAATTTAGTTCCTAAACTTTTAGAAATGTGTAAATTTAGTCTTTTTAACTAAATTTTGTTAGATTTATTTGATGTTTCAATACGTTTCATGATAGTGATTATTGGTCTAAAATTTCAAAGAGTAACTAATTCCAAATTTAACCCTAAAATATATTATTTGATTACGGGTATAAAAAAGAAAGAAGGGAAAGATTGGATGAAAAAAAGAAAACCTTAGAAGAGTTTTTCTTCTTTATAGGTACATGTTCATTGTTAATGAGTTTATTTATTTTCTGATAGTAGAAGAATTCAAACTCAATAACTCTCACTTAATTTTCCATATTATATCTCCCTTGATTTTACGAAAACTGTTGAGAATAATTAAGTATATAAAGATTAACTCATTTCTTACACATTTAAGATTTTTTTTTTCTGAGTAACATACTTACCTTTTTTATTTTCTTAGATAACATATTGTTCTCTATATTTACCCGCATAGCGCCGTTTTTATTTTAGATTATAATTTAGTTGTTGGGAAATTGGATTCTAACCTTCCATTTGGTTATTGGGTTGAAATACTAGTCAGAATTTGGTTATCGAATTATTTTCAATTATATCAATTCTATTAAATGTAATTGCTTTTATTCAATAAATATATTTTCTATTAGCTTATACATTTTCAATTTCATTATTATAAATTTTCCAACTAAAAAATATATTAGAAAAAAACAATAAATCTGTTAAAATGAAAAAAAAAAACCTATAAAACTTCTTTACAAGTATAAGTAATTCTTTTACTTTTTTTTCTCCATATCTATTAACAACTAACATTTTGAATACTTAAATAATCAATTCCAAAATATACATTTATCTTATAAATATACATTCATCAATTCCAAAATATACATTCATCTTATTATTAACTTTCAATAATTAAATTTTAATAACTACAAAAACATTACAAGAATTATATTTTACAAAATCCAATCACAAATATAAAATTTAGATCATCTTATATACATATAACTCTTTTTTATCTTCCAAAATTTTACAAAACACTACAAATATTACTACATTATTTTTTTTCCCATCTTAAAATATTATGTTACTTTATTTAAAGTATATTATTTTTAATTAAAACAAAAAAAAAATCCAAAAAGCCAAATTCTGACTAATATTTCGATCAAAACACAAAGTCAAAATTCGCTACCCTTAAAACTAAATTCTCACCTAAGAGAAGAACAATGTGGTACCTAGGAAATAAAAAAGGCAAGTGTGCTACCACAGGAAAAAAAATGGCACATCCAACTCAACTCACACTGTTCTATATATTCCAAGCCATAAATTCTAACGGCCAAAAAACTGTAAATTGCTCAAGACATTTCAATGTACCAGGTGAGCTTCTTGTCTTTTCTTTATTTTGTCGTATTCTTTTTTTTTTTTTGGTTTGTGTATTCTGCTTTGGTTAGAATTGCCAAAACGAGTAACGTGGTCTGACCCGACCCGGGTTAGTGGGTTAATTGAAACAGTAATAATTGGACCAATTGATATAAAAGAAAATGAAACAAAAGAAATATATTGTTATATATATTATAAGCTATCAAACATAAAATTTTGTCAATTTAGTTTAATGAGACATACACAATCGTTTGACCAATAAACTACATATAGCCGTTAACAAAAATATATAGGACAAGATAAAACTGTCATGCTTGTAGATATAGGTCTAAACACAAGATAAAACAAATGATATATTCCTTAATTATTCAATGTATAATATTATTCATCTATTAAATCGGAGTCCTCAATGGATAAATTCACAGATCTTAGGGTTTTATTTGTAGAGGGAAACTTTTGGAAAGACAGTCACGCGAAAGGCTCTATTGCTAAGTAAAGGTTGTGTATTTTGAATAATTAATTTAATTAATTTGATTTCAATAAAAAAAATAGGATTTGAAGAATTAATTTAATTAAAAAAAATAGGTGGGTTGTTGAGCCATTCCAACCCACCACGGGTTTAACTCGTGTGAGCCGGGTTCTTAGTGAGCCGGGTCAAAATTGGCACGCTAAAAAAATTTACATTTTTTTTCCAACCCAACCCGGTTCAAATCTATGGTGAGTCGGATTGGCTCACGGATTTCAATCAATTTTGACGGCACTAACTTTGGTACGCAGAGAGATTATTGCAAAGGTTTTTCTCTTTTTGTATTAAGTTTAAAATGAAAAAGGTATGGTCTGCACAAAAATTATGAAAAATAAATGCAAAGTTTTCTTACACATTAGAGAGGGCGACAGAAGTTCATTAAGCACGTCAAAACTACTCATACGACGTTACAACGTGAAATACACCAAACATTAGTGTTTTTCTTGAAAGATGTTTATGTTTTTTTTCTCATACAAAATTGAGTATGAAATAAAAATCTCAGGTATGTAAGCCTTCAAAACACTGATTGAGAATATTTGAATGAATTATTTGATGAGCACAAAGGTCCTACGATTGGTTTGATAAACCCACGCCAGCTAAGGGGCCAATAACTAGATCAATAATTAAATCCACAGTTTAATCGTACATTACTTTGTGGAGAAAAAAAAATAAAGTTCCCTTTATTTATAATGCCAATATAATACAGAATCAGAGACACTAAGGGACATC